GGCGGCTGAACCAAGCCCTCGCGCTCATGGGCTGCAAAGTGGCGCACACCAATGTCTTCGTCCCCAAGTCTCTGCTTGGCGATGGTCATCCTCAGGAGCTGCATTGTCCATAGGAGAAAAAGAAGAGGAAGAGAAAGAAAAAGAATGACTAGATCCAAAGAACAACTCAAGGACACTAGACAGAAACTTAACAAAGAAAAAATAAGTTCCTTTCTTAGGACAGAGAGAGAGTGTGGGCCCCGACCGGGTCCCCATGCCGTGACCCACCCCCAGCCCCAGCTGACCTGCCTCACGGGCTCACATGTACTGAGAGCTCAGAGAGGTCTGGCAGGCAAGCCCAGGGTCTTCCCCCACGTGACTCCAGTTGTACTTGCTAATGTTAACAATTTTAAAAACTTGAAGTACTGGGGCCAGCAGGTGGCGTGGAGGTTAAGGCGCTGGACTCCCACACGGCTGACTGTAGTTTGCGTCCTGGACCTGGAGGTTTGAAATCCATGCCCGGGGCATGTGCATGCGTGCCAAAAATGCTGAGAGGAGAATGGAGAAGGGACTGCAGTGGCCATTCCCGCCGGGGGTTGAGTTCTCACTTTCTGTCTCTCTGTCTCTTCAGTAAGCACACGTGCCCTACAGCAAAAAATCTAAAAAAAGAAAAAAGAACTCAAAGAACAAAATTTGAAATTTTGCTCCCACTGTGCCTTCTGCACAGGCAGAGTAAGGCCCAGGGGAACGCGGGCCCGGCGCCGGGAGGGAGAAGTCGTGTGGAGTACTGTCACTGACAAGGCAACTCTGAGTCTTGCTGAAACTCGGCCAAGATTAAAAATGACAGCACGGCGCTGGGAAGGGCCTGCTGGTGGGGACACATGCCCATGTGGCCAGCCACTGGGCTGTTATCGAGAGCCTGAACAATGTCCGCTTCCTAGGACCTGTGACACTGCTTCTGACAGTCTGGGCTACGAATGGTCCCCGGCAAGGGCTAACTTCAGGAAAAGAGGAAAGAATAGATCACACTGATATATGTGTGTGTGTGTGTGTGTGTATGTGTGTGCATGTGTGTATATATATATATATATATATATATATAGTGTGTGTGTGTGTGAGTGTGTGTGTATATAGTGTGTGTGTGTGTAGTGTGTGTGTGTGTGTGTGTAGTGTGTGTGAGTGTGTGTGTATATAGTGTGTGTGTAGAGTGTGTGTGTGTGTATATAGTGTGTGTGTAGAGTGTGTGTGTGTGTATATAGTGTGTGTGTGTAGAGTGTGTGTGTGTGTGTGTAGTGTGTGTGAGTGTGTGTGTATATA